CGAGGATTGGAAGAACAGTTACTTATTCAAACTTCCAAAGAAAGGAGACTTAAGTCAATGTAAAAACTGGCGTGGAATTATGCTTCTGTCCATTCCAAGCAAGATACTAAGTCGCATCATCCTGGAGAGAATCAAACAAGCCCTAGATGAAAAACTTCGTCCGGAACAGGCTGGATTCAGGAGAAACAAATCATGTATTGATCAAATCGCCACTCTACGGATCATCATTGAACAAAGCTTGGAATGGCAGTCACCTCTCTATCTCAACTTCATCGACTTTGAAAAGGCCTTCGACAGCGTCGATCGAGAGGTCATTTGGAAACTACTTCGCTACTACGGGGTCCCATCGACAATTATACACCTCATCCAACAGTTATACGACAATGCTGCATGCCAAGTAATCCACAACGGGAAACTTACGGAAGCCTTCGAAGTGAGGACGGGAGTGAGGCAAGGCTGTCTACTATCACCAATGATCTTCCTGATTGCAATTGATTGGATAATGCGACAGACAACGGCAACCAACGAGGGAACAGGCATAAAATGGACTGACACAAAAGACTTGGAGGATCTGGATTTCGCCGATGATATATGTCTGATTTCCCATAAACTGGAAGATATGCAAATGAAAAGTAACAAGTTGGCAGAAGAAGCATCAAAGATAGGACTTCACGTGAACATAGATAAAACAGAGATGATGAAGATTCCTTGCCAACATCAACAGCAACAACAGACCACAATAAGCATAAATGGGAAGAACCTGAAAGAAACAACCTCCTTCACCTACCTGGGAAGCATCGTCTCAACTACAGGCGGAACTGACGAGGACATCAAAGCCAGAATCGGAAAAGCAAGACAAGCTTTCATTACTCTCAAATCTGTGTGGAGGTCAACAGCATTCAGCATCAAAAATAAGATCCGGATTTTCAACTCCAATGTGAAGTCAGTGCTACTATACGGATCAGAGACTTGGCGAGTCATAAAGAGCATCTCAAACAAACTTCAAACCTTCATTAACAACTGTCTCCGCTCAATACTCAAGATCAGATGGCCAGAAAAGATCAGCAACAGGGATCTCTGGGAGCGAACCAATCAGGAACCGATTGTGAAACAAATAGGCAGAAAGAAATGGAGATGGATTGGCCATACGCTGAGGAAACCATCAAGTGACATCACTAGACAAGCCCTCGAGTGGAACCCGAAAGGGAGGCGGCGAGTTGGTCGTCCAAGGGTGACTTGGAGGAGGTCATGTGAAGAGGAGATGAAAGCATGTGTGCAGACCTGGAGCAGGGTGAAAAAGTTGTCAAAAAACCGAAGTCAATGGAGGTGCGCAGCTGAAGCCCTATGTTCCTCTAGGAACTAAAGGATACAATAATAATAATAATAATAATTATGCTTTGTTTCTAGGGGAAACTATGGTGGTGGTGAAATTTCTCCTCCTCGAACTGTATAAATTGAGAATTTCATTTGCAGAGTATTCGTCAACTAGTTAGCTAACTGTGAATTAGATTGATAAATTATACTCGATTTGTGTCTAGTGAAGATACTGCTGTGTTGAACAAACATTTTGAAATGAAAACATATAAACATTTACAAGTACATGGTTCTTAGTGATTTGTCTAATTTCACTGACGGAGCTATGTAACCATGATCTAAACTCTCGAGTTGATTTCAGGAGAACTATTGACACCGCTGAATTCATTCACTTTGGTCCAATGTTCAACATTGCTGGACTTGTATTGTATCTGAATGTCCTGATTTCATCCTCCAGGAGAATTGTCGGTGAGGACTACTAGGAAACAAAAGACAAGTGTACTACTAGGAAGTCATAAGTCCAAGACAAAAAATAGCCAGACACTGTGTTTCATTGTTTCCCCTCATCGATTTGAAATCATAAAGAAATCTAACTTAAAATATTGATTAGAACAGGTAATCACTTTTTTTTTCTCAATAAGTTTAGTATTATGATGGCGAGCCAACTAGTGGCATGTTGGCTACATTGCAAATTTGACCGACATAATTCAGTCTGCACAAAACGAAGGACTAGACGCATGACAGCAGCTGATTAGTGCGTTCAACCAGTGTGAAGAAATGTATATTGAAACTTAGAACAAAAGGCGTTCATTAAAAGGGTTACTTTTTTCGTCGACACCTTAGATTGATTGAACCGAAGTCCTCGGTCTAAGGTTGACATGTCGACTTCTTTTGCAGATGCTCCAACGATGTCTGAGCATTTAATTAGAATTTAATTTGTGGATGGTGACTAGCAGTGAAATCCACGATAATGCGCATTTTGTCCTATTTGGGACTCGTCAGCCGGACATGCCTGCATTTCCCAGTGAGTTATGATGTTCCCACCGAGGCTCGAACCCAGCGCCCTTGGTTTCAAACGTTAAGGCGTTATCCACTAGACCGAGCGCTTCGGTCGAATCAATCGACGGGAAAATCTCAAATTCAATTAAATTATTTTAACCCGTTGGATAAGAGTTGACTGTCGTAGCCCAAGTGGTTTATTGGATAATGCTGTAGCGTTTGAAACTATGGGCACTGGGTTCGAGCTTCGGTGGGAACATCATCACTCACTGCGGAATGCAGGTACATTCACTAGCTGACGAGTCCCAAATAGGACGAAATGCGCATTATCGTGGATTTCACTGCTAGTCACCATCCACAAATTAAATTTTCAAAGATGTGTCATTAGAATTGTAAATTATTCAGTTACGAAACTGCATTATATAAAAAGCGTTAGTCGGACAGTTACCAAAATTAAATGAAATGCTCGCTAGTGACTGCCTACAGAACGAAGTTGCCTAGAGAAGTTCTAATGAGAATTTGTCGCTGGCAGTGGGGTCCATCCAGCAAGAAGTGAGGATGCAGTTCCCGCCGATGACATTGGTTAGCTGGCGCGCTTGATGCACCACAAAGTGGCAGGAGTTAGAATTCATGGGGTAGCCATTTAAATGGGTCCCAGTGGCTGTTCAGTAACCATTCTTTTAACGAAAAAGGCGTTCAGCGAAAATTTAATCCTTTTTTCTCCGATGTCATTCTCGAGCTGTACAATCGCATGTTATATATATATATATATATATGTATTAAGTTGTCTTAGCAACAAAAGGAATATTTCCGAGGCTGTGTCATTAGAATTGTAAATTTTAGATAACAATTTTCCTTAATGGGTTAGAAACTAAAATAAGATTAAATAAGCATATTGAGTGACGCAGTACAATTATTGATGGGCTTAAATAGAGCTCAACTAAAATAAAAACTGAACAAAAGTCAAGTCGACAACAACAGTGGTAATAAGGGGTATAAATTTAATAAGGGGTGAGGAAGAAAATACTATACGTTAGATAGTTGGAGGCAATCGGCCACAGGAAGCATTGCTCGACCTGGGTTTCGTGCTAGTTGACACTCATCAGTGAGGCGTATCTGCAACCTCGAAGGAACTCATGTCGCTTCTGAGATTCGAACCCCGCGTCACTTAGTGCCACCTTCAGTCAGAGACGTTACTACTGAGCCATTCAGGCTGGCTCACGATTGACCTCCTGTAGGACTGTAGGGGAGATTTTGATTGGACACTAGTAACTAGTGTGACGTGACTAGTCCTTTCTTTGGTGCAGACTGAATTCTATCAGTCACAAATCTATCAGAAGGGACATGACTTCCTTCAGGGTTGTAGCTACGCCTTGCTGATGAGTGCCAAATAGCACGAAACCTAGGTTCAAGTCTTCATGTGGCCGATTGTCTCCAACGATCTAATATCATCAAATCAATGTGCACCATGATGGTGAGCTACCTAGAATGGTGGCCACATTACATCCTGACTGATAGAATTCAGTCTGCATCAAAGAGACGACTAGGCACGTCGCACTAGTTACTAATGTCCAATCAAAATACTGTTTAACTAAGAAACAGAAAGTCAGGAAAAAGACAAAACAAAAGTTACATATTTGGTCTTAAGATAGGTCAGGTCCATCATAGATTTAAATGAATAAACAGACATTTGGGAACCGGTGGGTGTGTACTGCTTCTGAAGAGTCCCAAACTAGTCCAACGAAACAGCTGTTCATTACTCCCAGTGTTGCAGGTCGGGTGTGAGAACAAATACTTGCCGAAGACATTGGTTAGGGGTCGCGCTACGTGTCATGAATTGGCAGAAGTTAGAATTCATGGACTGACCATCGGATCGGGTCCCAGTGGCTTAATGGTCTACGAGCTCGCTGGCCTTTTAACCAGAAGGTCGTGAGTTAGAACCCAGGACACGGTGTGTGCGTACCGCTGAAGAGTCCCAAGAACTAGGACGAAACGGTTGTCCAGTACTCCCGGGGGGGGGCTCCATTGATTCTCTAACCAATGTCAGCTCATGATGAAATCGTCCAATTAATCAAACAAAATTCCTTTGCAAAAGCAACACCCTTATTTAGCCAGCGATGGTCAATATAACTGACTCCACAAGATAACTGTTAGATAATTTTACATTTAAGTGCTGGTTTGTAGACATTTGGTTGGTTACAGGATTTCATCATGAGCTGACATTGGTTAAAGAATCAATGGAGCCCCCCCACCGGGAGTACTGGACAACCCTTCCGTCCTAGTTCTTGGGACTCTTCAGCGGTACGCACACACCGTCGCCTGGGTTCTAACTCACGACCTTCTGGTTATAAGGCCAGCGAGCTCGTAGACCATTAAGCCACTGGGACCCAATCCAATGGCAAGTCGATGAATTCTAACTTCTGCCAATTCATGACACGTAGCGCGACCCCTAACCAATGTCTTCGGCAAGTATTTGTTCTCACACCCGACCTGCAACACCCTACTGGTCACGATATCTCACTAGAACCCTAGAACTAGAAGATAATTGTACCATCTGATGAGGAAGAAGTTATCGAAGAGCGAGCATAATCTGTATTCATTAAACAATATTTATTCCTCAGCGTTGAATAACTTATCCACCTTCTATATATATCTTCCCTCTTGTTGTTTGCTTTTTATCCATCTAGTTGGCAAATCTCTTTCTCATTGGTTCACCATTAGCCTTATTCATAGCAGTTAATGATCTGCCAGCGACAACCGACATCTCTTCGTCTACACAATCGCTGTATTCAACAAATTCTACATATGATGAACCAGAACCGACAAAAATTCTTCGTTCATTACTTAATACTGTTGTTGCATCGAATAAACACTCAGGAATTGATTTAGACGAAACTGACGCTGAAGCGTTATTTTCATATTTCGCCTGTCGAAGAGTATTCAACATATTTCATTCATATGATCCTGTAGTAAGTCTATACTTTTTTGATGTGTCCTGAAATTTTTAATCACGCGTGACTTTGATCACCTTCAATAAAATAGCCAAGATGAGGACCGTGTGATAAAAAATTTAATATTGTTATTACTATTCTCTTGGATGCCCGGTGGAATATAGGGTTTCATCAGCCTATCTCAAATCCACTATCTCCTATACAGCATTTTTTAGCTGACTGTATAATTGCCCATAGGGTTTCATTTCGTCCCCTGACAAGATTTCCGGCAAAGTTAAACTTTAAGCACCAGTAACTACTAATCAACGAACAACCTTCAACGGACCAATCAAAAGAAAGAGGGACTTTTGATTAAGGAAAACGTATATTTATGGGGAAAAAAAGCATAAAAACTACACTAAACTGTTACATAGGGTGTCTTTCTCAAATATGTGACAGAAACATCTCCCAGTTTAGCATAGAAAAGTCAACAGAAACGTTACACCACATTCTGCACATATATTCATCCAAATGACTATAAATGAGATCCATTTATAGCCCTTATCCTATTTTTTAATCTTCCACAAAACCCTTCTACAGAATCCGTGTGTCTCTGTAATTGGACCAACAAAATCCCTAGAATGGTTCACTTTGTGATGAACGTATCCAAGAGATGACAGTGCGTTATAACCTTTCCATTCATCAGTATGTACAATGTATCCCTGTTTCACAAGTCGAGTGACAATAGGTACTAAGGTAGTAGACTTTCTGTCTGGTATTCTCTCCATGAATCCTTTCCGCAGGAAGGTGTCATGTAAACCGATCACCCAATCATTGTTGGCATGCTCACGAACACGGCTGTATTTTTTCTTCAGTAACACAGTCTCGTCCACGTGGGCGACGATACCTTCTCCGCCTAACAACGAAGTAATTATCTCCATTTTCCATGAAGCGATATCTCTCCTTCCTAAGAAATCCCAAATCCAGGCAATCCTGCAAAACCTTATCCTCATCTAACTAACTGCAAGCGTAACTGCGTTTGATAAGAATCAAGCGCTATATAACCTTGAACTCGTGTGAATGTACCTCATTGGAACATTCGAGGTCATTCGCTGATTGGTGGTAGTTAGTGATGCTTAAAGTTTAATCTGACCATTTCCTTCATGTCACAATCAGCCCAACGCTCAACTAGTCAGTTTCCACTGGAATTTCTCTCGACAGCTTGGCACTTGATGTGATTAATCAAACAGTCTTCTTAGAGTATGTCCGAAAAATTTTCATTTCCTTCGGCATACTTGTTGGATATAACGTCATCGGTTGGTTCACTGTCTGGTAGAGCTGCTTGATGTTTATCCATCCTAGCTGGCCACTTCATCTTTAGTACCTAGCGAGGGCAGTTGGTCAACAATTGTTCAGGTCCTGTTGGTTATACAACGCCGTATTCGTATTTCTTTTTTCGTTTAAGCGGTGTTACATTATTTATTATTATATTATTATTATTTCCTTCAGCCGCGCGTCTCCAATGCATTCGGTTCTCTGCCAGAGTTTTCACCTGGCTCCACGCTTCTGCCCACATGCTTTCATCTCCTCTTCATATGACCTCCTCTTAGTCACCCTTGGACTGACGAACAACCCGTCGCTTCCCTTTCGGTTTCCACTCGAGTGATGGCCTGTCTAGTGATGTCACTCACTTGATGGTTTGTGTCCCCAGAGTATGGCCAGCCAATCCATCTCCATTTCCTCCCGCCTATTTGTTTCACAATCGGTTCCTGCTGAGTTGGTTCGCTCATTGCCAGAGATCCCTGATGCTGATCGTTTCTGGCCAGCCATCTGATCTTGAGTATTGAGCGAATACAACTGTTAATCAAGGTCTGAAGTTTGTTTGAGATGCTCTTCATGACGCGCAGTGCAAGTCTCTGATCCGTATGGCGAGTAGCACTGACTCCACATTGGAGTTGAAAATCCTGATCTTGTTTCTGATGCTGAGTGCTGTTGACCTCCACACAGACTTAAGAGTAATGAAAGCTTGCCTTGCTTTTCCGATTCTGGCTTTGATTTCCTCATCATTTTCGTTGGCCTGTAGTTGAAACGATTCTTCCCAGGTTGGTAGGTGAAGGAGGTTGTTTCTTTCAGGTTCCTCCCATTTATGCTGGCTGATTGTTTTCTATTGTTTTTGTTGCTGTTGATGTTGGCCAGGAATCTTCATCACCTCTGTTTCCTCTGTGCATACCTGAAGTCCTATCTTCAATGTTTCTTCCTCTGTCAAATTGTTGCTTTTCATTCGCATATCTTCCAGTTTGTGGGAAATCAGACATACATCATCGGCAAAGTCCAGATCCTCTTAGTTTTTTGTGAGGGTCCATTTTATGCCTGCTTCCATTGCCCACCGCTGTTTGTTGCATTATCCAATCTACTGCAATCAGGAAAATCGTTGGCGATAGTAGGCATTACATTATGGGAAAGTATATTTGAGGGTTACAGTACATACGCTGCCTAAATAGCAATACACAATCATTCAGATCAATATACTGAGTATATAACTCATTGTTTAGATGTTTTTGAGTTCGATATTTGCATTTCAATTCCCCTGGAATCCAAGTGTAAAATAGGGCGTCAGAAGCAAATTCTCCTGTCACTCTGTTCTCCATAGTTTTATCTAGCTGGATTACTCGTGAGCTTTCATTCCTCCCCCTCCCTACACACACACACACACACACAATCCCCTCCAACTCATTCACTTACCTATGTCCAACATGTCGCATTACACCCGGGTTCCCCTAGACAGTCCACAACTTTCTGATGTGCGATTTCACTAAACAGTCTCCTCAGCGTATGTTCGTTCCATCTCTATTTCTCTCTATGTATCTGTTGAGTAAAAAAGGAGGGGGCAGATATTTAGAGTTTGCTTTAGTAAATTTATTGTCAGGTGATATGGTTATTTGATTTTTTGATATTTGAAGGAGATCGGTGAGTCATTCTAAGCATCGGTTTAAAACGATTAGTTCCGTTTATGAATCTAGATAAAGCAATAAGAAGACGTAATTTGTCTGATTCGTGTTGCAGTGTATTCGCTCAACACATTTCGAACAATCTGTTCACACACAGACTTGTCATGGGAATGAATATATATGAAGTTATTAAAGAGGTAAGAGGTGAGAAAATAGGCCACTTAGGTCAAGTTAAAAGGACATATTCAAGGTTAAAATAACAATGAAGACCACTAAACCAAATAACGGAGGTAATAGTATATCTGCCCTGATTGGTATCAAAAATAATCTACCAAGGAAGGTTTTAATGTGATGACGAATTGCTGCTTTGAACGCATAAAGGAGGTTTAAACTTCCTAATTGCCTGCCAGGGCTTCCACAAACTTTAGGATACCTCCCAAACATGTTTTCTAGATAGGCTTAAAAGATCTGTTAACGTCAATTTTATGTCCTGTCTCTATAATATGTTTCTCAATAGAAGAGCTAGGCCTCCTGTTCCCACTATTAATGGGTTCTGAAGATTCCATTTGTTTCTGGAGCCATTTAGGAATATGCTCTGAAGCCAGCACTTATTTGTAGAGATCGATGAGTCCTCCCTATGTGTGTCTGTGTGTGTCCACACGTACATTCAAATTGGTAAATACAGTGGCATGTGACGTCATTTTTCGCATGTTCGAAAGGCTTAGATAGATATATTGTCTTTACATTCTCTGTGATATTAACTGCATAAAAAGTCCTTTTAACAGCAGCGTTCAGTCTTTGTCTAGTTATCAAGCTGCTTTGATGCCCTACATAGGGTAGCTTGATGTACACGTCTTTCTTAGGGCTGAGTTGGACAGTTGGTGTCTTGGTGTTCTGACTACTTTATATCTCCTGATGAACTTGTCTGGATAACTGTTATCAAACAGAGTTTGTGTCAACTTCCTTTCTTCCTCATCAAGTGTGTCTTCAGTGTAAATTCTTTGGATTCTACTGAAGAGACACCTTACTAAGGCTTTTTTGTACCGAACAGGGCAGAAACTGTAGTAACTAACATAGTGTCCTTTCCAGATAGGTTTTATGTGCATATACGTTCAATACGCAAAATAAGTTACTTTGAGAATGCCTAATTCTTCTACCAGCTACAATTCGATAATTCCTCCGAGACTGGAATAGGTCAGTATAAGTGGTGTATGCAATAACAGTTAAAAATGTGGATCACGGTATGTATATGTCACATGAACCCACAAAACACACTTTCTAATATAATTATTATTGATCCCTTGGATTCCGAGTGGAACATAGGGCTTCAACTCCACGTCTCCACTTGCCACTTCTGTCTTCCTTCTGCTCTACTTTTCACCTGCATCCATGTTAGTCCATACTGTTTCACCTCCTCTTCACACTATCTCCTCCGTGTCACCCTCGCACTGACGTCCCATTCGCCACGTGCTTCCTTTTCGGCCTGATTTCACTCGAGCAATGGCCTGACGCGCGCGTGATGTCACCCAGCGCGATGGTTCCTCAGCGAGTGTCCAATCCATCTCAATCCACTTTCTCCTATATATTTGTTGGTTGGCGATTGGTTGGTTCTTGTTTTGTTTGTTTGTGCACGTAGTTTCTTGTTGGTGAGTCTTTCCGGCCCGGCCATCCGATCTTCAGTACAAAGCCAGCGAAGACAGTTGTTGGTTGATAAAGGTCTGCAACAGTTTGTTGGAAATATTCTTTGTGACCCGCCCGCCAAGTTTCTGATCCGTATAGAAGAGCTGGCTGACTTGACGATGTTTCTATTGAAAATCGGACTGAATTTTGTTGTTGATGCTGAGTTGAGTGACGAAGATTTCAAAATTGGTTTCAGGTTGATGAATGTATGTGTTTCTCGCCTTCCCGTTTCTCGCTCGATTTGACATCCTCGTCCGTTCTGACTGCGTGTAGTTGAGACAATGCTCCCTAGATAAGTGAACTGAGGAAGCAACCTCTTTCAAATCTCTCGCGTTGATGGTGATTGGCGCTGGATTTTACTGCTGCTGTTGTTGTTGCTGGTTGGTTATTTTCATAACCTCCGTCTTGTCT